ATTCCCTGCCCCCTGGGCCACTGAGGGGGGGAGGTAGAGAAATCGGGAGCAAAGTGATTTGATCCCGGGAAGAAGGGAGGGGTGGGGGAAGGTGTTGTAAGATGTGGTTGTTATGTCTCACTGTGCTACTCAGATGAATGGTAATGAATTAAATTGATTTTTCTTCCCCAAGTTGAGTCTGTTTTGCCCGTGACCATAACTGGTGAGTGAGCCGTCCCTGTCCTTCATCCTAATCTGTGCCCCTTTGTTGTGACTCCCATCCCATCTCACCGGGTGGGGGGAGTGAGTGCAGGACCACACGGTCCTACCTGTGGTTAAACCACCACAACAACAGAATAAGAAAAATTAAAATCAAGAGAGTTGGGAGTGATCAGAAGCTTGGAATACCTTTCACAGAAGGGGAGGCTAAAGAACAAGGCCCCTTTAGCATTAAAAAGAAGCAACTGAAGAGAAATAATATGATACGGGGTTATAAAACCATGAATTGTGCGCAATATAAAATTACTATTTGCTAATTTTCCTAATAGGAAGACCATCAGGTCTTTGATGAAATTGTCAAGCCAGAGCTTAAAACCATCTCAAAAAGGGGTACCTTTTCATAGCATATATAATTATAATTGTGGGACTCTTGACAATAAGAATATCCCATGGCAAACTCTGAATGGATTCAGAAAGCAATTAGATAAATGAAAAACCTCTGTCAAGGATTACTCAACAGCAGGGTACAGATACAGTTTTTTATCTGAGGAGATCCCATAACCACTGACTGCTAGAACAGGGAAGGATATAATTAAAGAAGGATCATTCCTACTTGTTTTCTCATAATCTTCCAAGTGTTCATGACTGACCACATCCAGAAATTGGATACAGGGCTAGAGAGACCTTCAGTCCAACCCAGGACAGCTGTTCTCATATGCACTACTAAATAAGTGTAAGTAATTTGCATTTCCATTAAAATATCTATTTTTTAATACTGCCAATTAATGGCAATATTTTCTTCCCAAGCTCTTGTAGGTTTAAGGAAATTCTATATGGATGGGTCCTATAAAGGACAGGGAGACAGAAAACATGAACTGGTGGGGTAGCTGAAATAAGGCTTGCTTTCAAGACAAACGACCCTAGAAGAGACAAATAAAATTTCCTATGATTAGTTGACATAACCAAGTGCACTTCTGCATTCTTCTCAGAGAATACTTTTAGTACTTTATAACCACTGTTTAAAAATACCTGTGATGTAAGTGTGAATGGGTGGGTTTGCAAGACATGCACAAAATAGAAGGAATGACCATTTTCCTATGCCTGTATTAAAACATTAACAACAATAAACAAACCTGCATTCAGCTGCAGTGTACATTACACAGATGCACATATAGCAGGAGGAAACATTTATCCATCCCACCTTGTTTCTGCCTCTGCTTGCTCATGCCTGCTTTCTCTTGAAGCCGTCCTACCTTCCATTTAGGGCAGTTTAATTGGGTATTTTCAAAAGAAAAATACTTTAACAGGGGAAATAAGTTAGCTGGGGTGAAAATTACGAATGTGAAAACACAGTACTCCAGCTTTGACATAAGAGGATGCATTCAGAACATGTCTTTACATTTTGACTAGTACTTATGTACAGATAAAGTAAGAAAAGATGTAACTACAAAGCATACCTACCTGGGAGGGTGAGGCCTTTCACACCAATCGCATGTGCACAGAAACCATGATACTGGATTAGCAGCTGATCAAAATTATCAGTAGTCTCTGGAAAAAGCCACTCTTGGTCCTTGAAATCAGAAACATTCACTCTGGTTCCTAAGAAAAGGTTTAACAAATAAAGGGTTTCAGCAATAAAACATCAGATGTTTAAAATACAATAATGTTACAGGATGACCAGATTACTGTGGTCTTCATAGGATGACCTGCAGTGGCAAGATCCCAAAAGCCAAACTTTAGCCCTGCCTTAGGAGAGGTCCCACTGAAAAATCAGTCCTGCAGGAGCCTTCTTTAGCAGCATTAGTTTTATTTGGAAACAGGGGACAATAGGAAGGTAGTATCTTATCCTTCTGTTGTGTTTTCACCCACTCACGCATTACAAAGGCCCTGGAGTACAACTTGTTTACTAGGGATACCATCTTACAAATACTTCTGGCAACCAAAGCATGATGATGTTAGCTTTTCTATTCCCCCCTCCATTTCAGAAGCTCTAAAAGGTACAAGAAGTCATAAACAAACTTAAGAAATGCAAAAAAAAAAAAAGTAAAAAGATTATTCTCTGATCATTCTGTCATTTTTATAAGGTATGTTTGTATCTAGTAGCTATATTTTAATTTTATGTATAAAAATAAAAGCCCAAACTACACTACATGAAAAATAAATCCACACACTACAAGACTTATTTTAATTTACTGTGCAAATTCTGATTATTAAAAAATCAACGTGTAGCACCTTCTCTAAATAAAATTTGAACCAACAAAATCTTGGAAAATGAAGGAAAACAAAGAAGTAGTAACTTCCAGTACCCGTGGTTTCTCTTATCCTTTCCTCATCGCTTTTCACAGTCACTCCTTCCAGAAGAGATGTCAGCACGTCCTTTGGAAAAAGCTGTGACTGGATTTCTGAGAACTGCTGCAGATTGTTAGTCATATTTGTGAGGAAGTTTAGCAGCAGCATCTCATCCTGAAAGCCGGCCCAGAGGTTAGAAAGTGCAAAAAAGAGAGGCTAGAAGAAAAAAGAGAAAATTATCTGAAATCCAGAACTGGTTTGTCTGCAGAACAACCCCCGTGTTTTGAACAACAATCCCTGTTATGAACAAAGCGAGGCTCATCTCCAAGACCTTCAGCATCCAGAAATTCCAGGGGCATTCCTTTTTTTTTTATCTGCAAGAGGAGCTCCCATCTCATATGCCCAAAGCACATATGTCCAGCATGTATGCCCACAGGCCAGATGGTACTTGCCTACATTTTACACCAAAGCCTTTCCCATATACGTTACTCTGAGACCATGCCTGGAATTGAGCGCTTTGACAATACAGTTTTGTATCTGAAAATAAGGTGCACAGGAATAAGAAGGACCAGAAGAAATACCCCTGTTTTACTACCAAATGAAGTAAAGCCACACCTATATGCACAAACTGTCAGGTTTTGCTGTTTTGTCTGCCCTGCTTCCAGAGTGACTTGGTACCACAGCCCCCAGGCCACCACGTGTGTCAAATTAATGGAGTGCAAGTCTGAAGTTCATAGTGGTTACAGGGTTCAGGGCAAAACTGGAAGCTGCCATTCCCAGCAGCGATGCTGACATCACTGTACAGGAGTACACACATACAGAAGAAGCCTATGAGCTTTGAGTATAAACACTGATTTCAATGACAGTGACATAAAATGTGCCCTGTCACAGAATCACAGAATGTCAGGGAT